GTTTTATAGTTTTTTACTTTTCGTTTTCGAGGTCCATGAGTTTTTACAGCTGTGAGGTACATTATGTCCATTTTCTGCCTAGTTATCTTTTGCTTATTCATATTGTTAGATTGTATAGTTTTATAAAAAATTTCAAATTTTATGGTTTTATTTTTTGTTTTCGAAGGCCATAAGTTAGATAACTGAGAGGTTAATTATGTTATTCTCGTAAAATAAAGATTGAAATAAAATCAATTCAAAAAATCTTTAAAAAAATCAAAATAACAAACATTTTTGTGTTCAGTCAACTTGAAAAAAAAGACTTACTCTGTTGTTCGCACATGTAATTTTTGCACGCGATAAAAATACACTTATTCTTCTTATAATTCGGTTTGTTTCTCAGTTTACTCTTGGTCCTGCAAGTGTTAGCTTAAACTATATATCATCTAAGAAGGTTGGGGATTAAAACAAGTCTTAGGACATCTGGTAAATTCTGTCTTGAAGGGGAAAGACAAAATAAAAATGTGACAGATAACGACAACCTATGTTTAAGCTAAACTATGACAAGCAGTGAATGGAATTTGTTCAGAGATTGGAAGACAGCAGCAGGTAATTTCTATCAACGAAAAAATTATCACAAGCAATGAATCTGATGAATGGAATTTGAAAAAAAAAAAAAGTTGCGTGAAAACCGGCATTTTTGGACGTGTAGGATACACGTTTTTTCTACCGGTAAAGAAAATCACGCAACTATTGGAAGCCTATTTATACAACAATTGGATTGAAGAACCTACAGTTTTGGTAACACACTTTGATAAGAAGAACAGCTAGTATCATAACAGACAAGCAGCAAGAATCAGTGTAGTCGTGATGGGAAGAATGATGAATTCAGGCAGCGGTTTGAGACAAGAAAACAAGCGATGGTCGTTAATCCATGGTCCTCGTTTCTTGGCAGTCTTGCTGGTGATATCCATGATTCATGTAGCAGCAAGTCAGAACGAGATGGATATTCTTGATCAAGGTTTGAACAAGATTCGATCCCCAAGACACACCAACACTCGATCGAGCATCGTTTGTAGCACCACTGAATGCGTTAACGCGGCCAATGAAATCAAACGTTCGATGAACCTGACTGCGGACCCTTGCAATGACTTTTATGAGTACGCTTGTGGGAGATGGCCGACAAACAATCCTTTCCCGCCAGGCTACTCGTATTATGGCCAATTTGATAAAGCCGAATTGGTATCAGAACAATATAAAAAAAGGAAATTAGAAACGGCAAGTATAACAGTCAACGGAGCTACCAGAGAAGTACGGCAAATGCCATCCAATCTGTACAAATCGTGCATGAACGTAACGGCCATCGATAATCTTGGTGACGCACCTCTGAGAGAACGTATTAGAGAACTAGGAGGTTGGGAGTTGAGTGGAAACTGGGACGAGAATACGTGGGATTTTAAGGATACCCTTCTTTTGATGCATAAAATGAAACCCCGTACGGGACCTTTGTTCTTGTTAAAAGTATATACATCTGGAAACAATGCAAACATCTTTGTAAGTACCCTATGTAAGTAATGATTTGTAAGGATTTTGATTTACGATTGCGGAGGTCGTGGTTCAAGCTTCGGCCGGACCAACACTCAGGGTCTAAAAATAAATGAGAAGGTGCTGCCTTTGTAATCACAACTGCAAATGGTTAGACCTTCACATGGCTTGGATGATCACGTTAATGGTGGTCCTGTCCCTAATCAACCAGAGATGTTAAAAGAGGACCACGAGTTTATCAGTTGAATTACTGTCACGTGCTATCCTCTATAAACAAAGTTTATTACTATCTTCGTTTATTTAAACGAGTATGGGTAATACTTTACGAGAATAAAGCGGAACTTTTATTATTATTATTATTATTATTATTATTATTATTATTATTTATAATTATATATTAATTTAATATAGTATTATATCAGTGTGAAGAGCTGGACTCGTGTTTTGAGCTATTAATTATTTTACAAATATGTTTTCATCGATAAATAAGTCATTTGTACATATATTTATTATTTCATATTCATAATCTCGTTTTTATTGTTTTTTTAAAATAATAATAATTATTATTATTTGAAAGTATTTTTGAATAAAATTATATTATTATTATTATTGCTATTATTATTATTATATTATTATATTATTATTATTATTAACCAAAATATCATACTAGACTTTCCATGCATTATACAAATCTTAAAGGACTGGATCGAAACCTACTTAATATTCTTCTTTTATATTCCTATTGTTCTGATTCTATAGATATCTCAAGATGGAACAGTCCTCAAAGCGAAAAGTCAATATCAAAACCTAGCATCAAAGGTACAGATCGCCACAAAAGTAAATTTACTTCCGTAATTACGAATAAAGTATATCACTTTCTATGATCAATTCAGACTACATTTTTTCTTTCCTAAGGACATGATAGCATACAAACAGTTGATCATCGATGTTTTGCTCGAGTTGGGTGTCAATGCTAACACCGCTGGCACAAAAGCAGACGAGATTGTTCGTTTTGAATTCCAACTTGCAGGCGTAAGTGTCGTTTTAAATCATTATTATTTTTCTTGATGGTGGGAGCAAAATGGCATCAAGTGGAATTTAATATCATATATTAATTAAGAACATGCGTAATAAATAAATTACGAGCCTTAGATGACTTACGCGACTTGAAGTTGTGAAAGGCTTGTATGGCACTCTTCTTCAGTCGTTTCATCTAAGGCTCGTAATTTACCTATTACGCATGTTCTTATTTGATATCCGAGCCCATCCCACACGGCGCACTGCCACATCTATCATATATTAATGTTTTATTCCTCTTAGGTATCTTTAACTCTGGTACAATGGATACAATCATTTTCGAACACGGTAACTCTTGCACAACTTAAACAACAAGTACCTCAGGTAATTGATGGTTCTATCCTCTTTTTTTTTTTTTTTTTTTTTTTTCTTCTTTTTTTTTTTTTTTTTTTTTTTTCTACTACCTTTCACTTAATATTAACAAAATCCTCAAGTCGCATTAATTATCTGCAGTGAATTTGTTACAAGCAATTACTGAAGCTTAAAAAGCTTCAAAATTAGTTTAAAAGCGTAAAGCTAATTTCGATAGAGGCATTTCCAAGAACGATAAAGTTCGTGTAAGATCAATGTCAATGTGCCTGCAGTTAACCCAGTTCATAACGGGTCAAAGGCCAGTTTCACTTAAATTTTCGTGAAATTGCTTGGCGGCGAGAGTACATTTAACTATTTGCTTTTTATTACATCAAGCACCAATTAATTCTAAAAGCCGGTTGTTGGGAAGCTTCATTCAGTCTTCTTCCATTACTAGTGCTATTGAACTTAACGTCAACTAAACGTATTCCCATGCCTAAGAGGCAAAAGTCAATACAGCGTCATCTCTCAAAGTTTTGAACCATAGTGAACAGGGAGAATCTTTTTACTTATCCGAACATTCTGAACAAGGCTCTTCCCAAGGAGTATGAATCACTTGGAAAAGCGTTCGCTCATGGTCCTCGATAGACGGGATGGCAAGAGCGATCTTAAGAATCTACTGATTGAGAAGGTTATTCGTTTTGCTTGTAGTGAAACTTCCCATTTATGTTCAAGGAAAGTGCCCTCACTATTAGTAAACAGAGAATAATCAGAAGGTGTGAATTTTTTTTTCCAATCACAGAGTGACAATTTCATACCCGAATGTAACATGATTTACGAACTATGATACTATTACACGATGCCTACTGCCTTTGAAAGAATTTTTTTATTAATTAAATAGCTTTCTACTTCAGGTCGACTGGTCTCATTACTTGAATGGCCTGTTTGGATCAACGATTCCTGATAGTGAAGTCATTAGGTTACCTACGCTGTCTTACCTAAAGAAGGCGATGAGTATAGTGAAGACCACGCCAAAGAGGTAAAGTACTAAACTTATTCAGGAGCAGATCCAGGGGTGTAACCCCCTGAGATTCAAAATACCCAAAACTCATATTTGAAATGCCATAAATACAGACTCGCGTAACTTGCTGAGCTAATTCGAATTCAAGACTAACGACCGTGAAAACCCCTAATGATATTATAAAAACGAAGACATTCCATGAAAGTATTTATCGTTCATTTAGTTTTCTCTTTCTGGTTTAGGATACTGGCAAACTATATGGTATGGTACGTGATACACAGTGAGCTCAAGTGGCTTTCTGCGCCTTTCAGGAACGCGCTGCGAAAGTACCGGCTTGCAACAGGTGATACTGCATCTGAACCAGCTCGATGGCAAACGTGTGTTAAATCAGCGTTTTATAATTTTGATGACATCATATCAGCCGCATATGTCCATGACCACCATGCACAACTTGCAAGGCCAATTAACAAGGTATGTGATAAGTTTGAGTAGATTGCGCATTCTGTCAGGAGGAACGTGAAAGCTGGGGTTGATTTTTGTGACAAATATAAGTACAGTTACAGTGCAAACACAGTTAGAGTAGAGTCAAAGAAAAATACATGGCCGGAACTAGTATGAAAATTTGTCGAGGATGTCATGGGAAAGCAAGAGAGAGTATACTGAAATATTTATGTTCTTTCGGGAAAAGCTATATTAGTGCACATCCTGCATATTAGTGTGGATATACGAACCCGGCCTAGGCATTAATCAATATATTGAAACATTTACTTTCTTAATTTTTAGGAAGTAATGCTTTCTTAGCTCAGCACCTTCGTAGGTTATTTTTGGGATTTTTATACTTATTTTGGAAACCATGCAGTCGAGCCTGCGAAACTGTAACCAAGGACTTGTTTTCAGTTGGCTTTGTCTAAAATATTATATTTTATGTTTAGACAAAAGACCTTTTCAATGAAGCCATTCAAGCGTTTAAAGATAACATTAACTCACTAACCTGGTTAGATAGTGCCACCAGAAGTAACATATTACGAGAGGTAGGTACCTAAAGACCAACTTAAGGTGAGCAATGACATTAATGTAAACGATGATGATGTTATGCGGTTCAGTCTGTAAGTTAGCCGTGCCCTGACTTAGGTCATATCGTATCAGGTTCGATCTGTAAGTTAGCCATGCGGACGGGGTTCAAAATGAGAGCTAGCTCTGGTATCACAAACTAGATCAGCCTAAAGGTAGTTTCGGGGTTCTTCCTGCGAGATAGCCGTGCCCGGTTTAAGATCAGTCCAGAGGTTGGTCCAGGGTGCAGTTTGTGAGTTAACCGTACCCTATGTTCAGGGGTTGGTCCAGGGTGCGGTTTGTGAGTTAACCGTACCCTATGTTCAGGGGTTGGTCCAGGGTGCAGTTTGTGAGTTAACCGTACCCTATGTTCAGGGGTTGGTCCAGGGTGC